TAGTATAAAGGCCTTGCATGCTTGAGTAAGATTCGGCAGTTTTCTTGTCAAATTGTGGGACAATACTGGAAATCAAAATACCAGAAAAGATAGTATTGCCCTAGGGCGGAAGATTCACTAGGGCTCCAACATCCCTTAGAGTAATATACATTGGGCCAAGAGGAAAAATAAAAGTGTTATACTCAAAAGACCAGAAACTTGGGGCGATTGGAAAAAGCACTGGTCATAAGTTGGGGGAAAAGGGTAATTTCTAATAGGTCCAAAATCTTAGCACGATCAAAAATTGCTTTGGTGGGTCCATGATTTACTATACGTGCATGCCATCTACGAAAACTAGGATCAGTATTTGGCCAAGTACGAATACCTTTATCGTGGATTGGCTTCAATGGCAGGGAGTCCAGAAATGGAGGGTCTTCAGTGCAAGGGAACAGCTGGCCCAATGCTACTTGTTCAACGGCTTTGGCATTATTGAATGATGGACCCAAATAGAATTCATTGAGGTCAGTATTAGCTTGAGTAAGGAAGTTTGGATTTACATACGGCCTGGTAAGGATTTTCTTGAAATCTTCGAAACTGAAAGAATCATCAGAGTGAGTTTGTGAAGTCGCCATTGGGTGCAAAATACAGTTTTGTTAAGATTTGCCTACGAAACGTAGTAGAGAAGTAAGAAGATGAACAGTAAAATAATGAGGAGGAAACACGAAATATAGAGACGTGGTTTGGTGGTGTAATGAAATGACGTGTCTTTTGGGTTTATAAGGGTTCGTAATCTTGCACCTTTTCAGGCTATAGAAGGAAATAATGATTGAAATTCTTGGGAATTTCAAATGTTGCCTGGAAAATAAAAAGTGAATATGGCACATATTAATACTTGGTATTAATTCTGTCATATTGGGGGATAATTGTTGACGCACTAAAAGTGCAGCCCAAAGAGTAAGGCCCAATTGGGGAGTCAATGATAAATACCCAAATAAGATTATTGATGAATGCAGTGGAAGCCCACAAACACATTAATATCATCGCCCAAGCTTGAAAGACGCCCAAAATCTGAGCGAATGGAGTGTCTTACGGTCATCCAGAGCGATGACCCCGTTCTCGCCCAAACCTTCGAATCGCCCAGGATCTTAGCAAACATGAGATATTATGGTTATCCAAAATAGTAGTTATCGAGCAATCTTATCACATTCCACGATTTAAGGAGCCCAGTTGAAGTGGTTGAACGACAAAGAGTAATGGCAGCAGTTAGAGATGACAATTCCACGAAAAGTTAGCCACCATGAAGAAAGTGAGTAGTTATAGAGTAATCAAGCAGTTTTCCAACTGTTTGTCACGAATAAATCATCAAGGGAATATAAAAAGGAAGAGAAGATATAGAGAAAAGGACCCCGAATCAAACACTCTCAAATAGAGAATATGTAATTTTAATTTTTTTAACTTAAATTTAAACACTTCATTTAGTACTTGTGTGCTTGCGCCCCTTGGAGACATTCTGTTTATTTCCAATAGTAAATCATCGCCAATAAAATACCCCTTTTTGGGACTTTTTCTCAAGAGATCTGTTCCTTACACAATCGTCTGAATCTTTTTTAATTGTTAGGGACTACCCGCGCGAAACACATATATAGTATATTTTGTTGTGATAAAATAATAATTTATAATAAATAATTGTAATTTTATTTATTTATTGCATTTATTTATTATGAACATGCAGATTAAATTGTCTTATTATCACTCGTGATAATATAAGTTGGGTACTTGTGTTGAGAAATATAGTATGACATAACTTATATTTTGATTTAAATAATTTGTTCACAATCAATGTATAAGGATTGGCACCTTATACTGGAAGATTGTAGTGTTGACCGATTTACTATTCGAGTTTGTGATTTATCCTTATCACAGAAATAGTTAAAGGTGACATTAGTTTACTTAGAGTGTATTGAATGGATCACTTGTCAAGTTTAATTCTATAGCATGACTGTGCGAAAAAATAAATTTCACTTGATCGTCATGTATTTCATCTAAATCTCTTCATAGGATTATATATATTTTTTCATGAGTTTAATGATTCTTTGATTCACTAGTAGGTGAGATCAATTTGATTGATAAAATATCCCAGTGAATTGATAACTTGAGAATGAGAAAGTGGAGATCATTAATTCGTATCGGGAACCATCGCCCGGAATGGGTAGAGTGACTACTTATATATATATTCTATCGAATGGTTAAAATTTGAGTTCAATGTTTAACGATAGCTAAATTTCGACATCTGTGATTAGTTTGTAGGACCGTTGAAAAAAATGATACTTAAGTTAGTGATTATAATTGGCAAAACGGTTATTTATGCTGGTACCTAATTTTCAAATCTCGGACGGGGATAAAATTCATATACGGCAGGTCACATGAAAGTATTACATATTTATTAGCTTATGTGATCTTATATATTTCGAAAATTCAGTCTTTTATCTTTAGTGGAAAAAAAACGAAGACTAATAATTAGATTGGATGGTTTAGGGTCAATTAGACTTAATCTAATTATTGGAGTTTGGATAATATATATCCGATCAGGCCCCTGTGATAGCTCTATAAAGTATTGAGACTTAATCATAATTATAATAAAAGTTTGGGGCTTAATTATAATTATATTAAAGTTTTGTACTTAGTTGTAATTGTTATAAAAGTTATAAACTTAATTATAATTGTAATTGAAGTTTTAGGACTATACGTGTAATTAAATGTAAACTAATCGGATGTGGACTTTAATCAAGACTCCTTTTGAAATTGGAACTATTATTAAACATAGATTGAAACATCTTTATCTCTATAAATAGAGACTAAATGGATATAAAAATATTAGAACAATCATAATAAATAGTTTCATAGTATTTAAATTGGAGAGAGAGAAAATATTTTTCTTATTGTCCAATCTAAGAATTGGTTTCTTAATTTAATTAAAAGATGATGTCCACACATTAGTGTAGTCCTCACTTTGAAAAATACCATAGAAGACTTGGAGGTTTGGAGAGTTCATGGAATTAAAAAGCTGGAAGCTCCTAATCCAAAAAACTAAAACTTCATGATTCAGAATTACTTCAAAAATTAATTATCAATTTTTGGTAAAAGAGTTTCTTGGCCAAGGTGTGCTCTTAAGTTGAAAACTATTTTCTTTACTATAAGCAAACTCTTTTCATTAATTGAATGAAATGTAGATCAAGAGCCCATTTCAATTATTACTGTTTCTGTAATGAAATTCTTGGTCAAGGTGTGCTCAAACGTCGAAAAGTGTTTTCGACTTATATTGACTTAAGAGTATGATAAAAGATATGTTCGATAATCAAAATTGTCACACTTCCATATCTCATAATTGATCGGATCATATTGACGAATGAATTATAATTTCACGATAAACAAACAAATTTGATTTTGTTATACCACATGACATTTTCCGTCACATATATTGTCCCGACACATTGCTAGATATCAATGTGAAACGACGAATGTAAATTAATTAATTTAGGTAAATAATGATAAATTTAAAGAGTATTTTAATTTATCTTATTTTGATTAGATCAAAATAATAATTTACGTCGTTGACATCGTGATTAGGAACCTAATAAGTCAAACTCAAACTGCGAACTAGAATAATGAAATGTACTAATTAATTAATTGACAAGTATTTGACAATTAATTAGTTGTGTTACTTATTAATGAGTCAAGTTAATTAATCAAATTAATTAATTAATGGACCAGTTTAAGTGTTGGTGAATCCTACTTGAACTTATATTAATAAGCTATTTGGGTTTGAGAAATCACACGCGATAAATCATAATCTTGCTCGCAGAAACAGAATTCACAAAGGTATAATCCTTGCGGTTTGGTTCAGAAAAATTCAAAATGGCGTGAAATTATTTGAGTTGAAAATATTACACAAATCATCAAATCGAACCATCTTCACTCATACAATGGGCTATGAGCCAAAATTTATATATATTGTAACTTCATTGTTTTCCTTTCACTTTCTTACAGAAATCCATTTGCATATTACAAGGTTTACCTTTTTAGGGGTTCGAACTACATGTCCACACACTTTTCTTTTCTCTAATGAATTCAACTCTACATGTAAGACTTATTTCCATTTTGACCAATCATTTTTATGTTGACAAGTTTTAACAAACTATGGTTTATGATCTTCATTTTGCATAATTTCAAGAGTCACGTTAAAGGCAAAAAACATTGTTTATAGCAATATTATTTCGTTCTCATAATTTATGAGATAATTTATTGAAAAAAAATCTCATTATTTTTGAATATTTGTAATTCTACAAGAATCAAATTATCAATATTTGATTGATTATTCTTTCTTATTGTTGTTTCTTCTGAATTGTTTAGATGATTTTTCTCTTGTGCATTTCTCTTTTGAGGTGCAGAGTCTTTGGCGCCAATTGGTTGACAATGTTTTTAATGTAATTTGAGATTCAGCAGATTGTCCTATATGGACATTAATTTTTATTGGAGCATTTTCTGATGATGTATATGACTTAGTCATTTTTTTTTATGTCAACAAATATATCATATAATTTATTTAAAACTTTTTACAAGTGAATGATTTTTTCAACCTCTTATTCACGTTGATAGTTACGAGGATCAAAGTGAAATAGCATTGTTTCATTCCAAAACATTCTACATTGTATTTTTGACGTTGTTTCTCAAAGTTTGTATAACAATAATTTTGGCTGTTTTCAAATTTTCTTCCAATTTCACCATCTCTAAAACAATTATTTTATGAGACAAAAAATTAATTATTCTTAAAAAGTTGCTTATAAGTCTAAGGGACTAAAATGTCTGAATTTATCCCGCCAAAGCAAATAAGTTGATTCTACTGCATGCCACGAACTCTTGAGTTTCATGGATGCATACACAAGATACAACCAGATCCTCATGCACCCAACAAACGAGGAAAACACCTAGTCAATAAAATATTTTTCGACCTCATAGGCAAAATGATGGAGGTATACATCGATGACATGCTCGTAAAGTGCCTCAGGTCTACAGACCACATTGAACACTTGAGAGCTACCTTCAAGGTCTTGAGGGAATATCGAATGAAGCTGAATCCACTGAAATGCGCCTTTGGCATTGCTTCTGGAAAGTTCTTGGGTTATATGGTTAACCAGTGAGGCATTGAGGCGACCCTGAAAAAATTAAAGCCTTGCTGGACATGAAATCCCCCAGCAAACCCAAGGAAGTACAATGTTTGACATGGCGCCTGGCAGCACTAAACTGCTTTTTTTCCAAAGCTACAGATAGATGTCTTCATTTCTTTAAAATCTTAAAATGGGAGAAAAGGTTCCTGTGAAATGAAGAATGTGAAGAGGCATTCCAAGGGCGGAAGAGCACTTGGGCCAAGCCCCCTTCCCTCGAAGCCCAAGGAGGGAGAAACATTGCTACTATATCTGGCCGTAAATGCCGATGATGTGAGTTCGGTGCTAGTAAGGGAAGAGGATGGCACTTGATTACCTGTCTACTATGTAAGCAAGACCCTCCCACCAGCTGAAACGCATTATACTGATATGGAAAAGCTTTCTTTATCCCTTATGATCGCTTCTAGGAAGCTAAGGCCCTACTTTCAGGCCCATAGCATACGTGTATTAATGAAACCATCAAACAAGTGCTCCAAAAGCCAGACGCATCAGGGAGACTGATGAAATGGGCTGTGGAATTAAGCGAATTTGACATTTCATATCAACCATGAACCTTAATGAAGGGATAAACAGAGGTGGATTTCATAGCAGAATTCACAAAGGCAACAAATATCAATGTAACAATGGAACAATTAGACCATCCAGCCTGGAATTGTTTGTTGATAGATCCACCGGAGAAACGGGATAGGGGCTAGTGTACTGCTAGAAAGCCCAAAGGGTTACAAGCTTAATTGTGCAGTGAGGTTTGGCTTTAAGACCTCCAACAATGCAGCTGAGTATGAGGTGTTTTTAGTTGGCCTCAGATTGGCCAAAGAAATGCAGATGAAAAAGTTAGCAGTTCGCAGCGACTCCCAACTGGTTGTAAGCCAAGTCAGTGGTAGTTTTGCAACCAAAGATAAAAGCATGGCAATGTACCTGAAGAAGGTTATGGACCTAATCCTAGGCTTTGAAAAGTTTGAGTTGACCCAAATCCCAAGAACGGAGAACATGTACGCGGACGCCCTATTGAAATTGGCCAACATCGAAAACTCGAAATTACTCAAAATTTTACCTATTGAGTACCTCTCTAGGCCCTCCACAACCAAAGTAGAAGATGTGATGTGGGTTGGAAGAACCCCACAATGGATGTAACCTATTATAGCTTACCTCAAAGATCACATTTTGCCGAAAAGCAAGGAAGAGGCCCATAAGCACAGACGAAGGGCCGCCCACTATGAGCTTTACAAAATAAGCTTCTCATCCCCCCTCCTACGGTACACTGGAGGAGATGAGACTAACTATATCTTATAAGAAATCCACGAAAGAATCTGTGGTAACCACACAAGGGACCTAGCACTGGCCCATAAAGTATTATGGCAAGGGTACTACTGGCCAACCTTGAAAAATGATGCTGTACAATTCGTGAAAAGGTGCGACAAGTTTCAGCGCTTCTCCTCCATTCAAAGATAACCATACCAAGAGTTGACCATAGTATCCAGTCCCTGGTCATTTGCCAAATGGGGGGTCGACCTAATACGGCCTATGCCAAAAGAAAAAGACTCGCAAGCTATGTGATTGTCGCCATTGATTACTTCACCAAGTGGATCGAAGCAGAACCGTTGGCTAAAATAACTGAAGCAAACACTTCTAAATTCATATGGAAGAACATCCTATGCCGATTCGGAATTTCCCACTCAATAGTTACAAACAATGGGCGGCAGTTCGACAACCAGAAGCTCAAAGACCTATGTGTCGAATTGGGTATCAAAAATAACTTTCTCTTCTCTTCACCACCCCCAGGCAAATGGCCAGGTCGAGGCAGTCAACAAAACTATAAAGTACCCCTTGAAGAAGAAACTTGATGCATCGAATGGAGCGTAGGTGGACGATCTTTCCCATGTGTTGTGGGCAATTTGCACCACCAATTGAATCGTGACATTAGAGACCCCTTTCTCCATGGCATATGGGGCCGAAGCCATGAGCCCATTCGAGGTGGGCCTTTCTTCGCCTCACAACCTACAATTCAACGAAGTATCCAATGATGAGATAAGGCAATGCGAGCTCGATTTCCTTGAAAAAAGGAGAGATGATTCACAAATAAAATTGGCCTCATATCAAAGAAAAATGGTAAGGTACTACAACGTCAAGGTCAAGAAGAAATTATTCAGAAGAGGCGATCTAGTGCTCAGAAGGATCTTTCTGTCTTTAAAGAATGGTAAATTAAGGGTGTGCGTAGACTTTAGGAACATAAACATAACCACGCCCAAATATGAATATCTAATGCCTACGGTAGATTCTTTAGTAGACTCGACTGTCAGATAGGTAATATATTCTTTCATGGATGGGTATTCAGGATACAATCAAATTTGTATAGATGAGGAAGATATACACAAAACTGCCTTTAGATGCCTTGGATCTCTAGATGAGGAAGATATACACAAAAATTATCAGAATTTGAAGAAGAAACTTGATGCATCGAATGGAGCGTAGGTGGACGATCTTTCCCATGTGTTGTGGGCAATTCGCACCACCAATTGAATCGTGACATTAGAGACCCCTTTCTCCATGGCATATGGGGCCGAAGCCATGAGCCCATTCGAGGTGGGCCTTTCTTCGCCTCACAACCTACAATTCAACGAAGTATCCAATGATAAGATAAGGCGATGCGAGCTCGATTTCCTTGAAAAAAGGAGAGATGATTCACAAATAAAATTGGCCTCATATCAAAGAAAAATGGTAAGGTACTACAACGTCAAGGTCAAGAAGAAATCATTCAGACGAGGCGATCTTCACGAGTCTTCCTAGAAAGACAGAACTAAAGAGCCTGGCGTTGGCATGTTGGGTCCAAACTAGGAAGGACACTACCGTATATTAGGCGACGTTAGGCCATGAACCTTCTTAATTGAGAACTTGGATGGAAAGGTGCAGCCACCTTTGGAATGTCAAACATTTAAGGATATATTATCAGTAAAAGCCTCGATCATTACTTATGTACCTCTTATGACTAATGCATTTACCTTTTTATTTTTTACTATGACAAGCACATATGTTAAGTATGACAAGCTCATACCCTGTTGATCAAGTACAATGGTTACGATGAGCTCCTGTTATTTGTTCCAAACCAACTACAGTGAATCCACGTGTCAAATCAGCTATCAATTGTGGCGAGCCCATTAATTGTTAACTTACTGATTAAAAATGACAAGCTCATACTTTATGGTTGTTTAGTAAAGTGAAATTGTGGTGAGCCCATTAATTGTTAACTTAGTGATTAAAAATGACAAGCTCATACTTTATGGTTGTTCAGTAAAGTGCAATGTGGTGAGCCCATTAATTGTTAACTTAATGATTAAAAATGACAAGCTCATATTTTATGATTGTTCAGTATAGTGCCCATTAGTTCTTAACTTACTTATTAAAAATGACAAGCTCATACTTTATGGTTGTTCAGTAAAGTGCCCATTAGTTGTTAACTTACTGATTAAAAATGACAAGCTCATACTTTATGGTTGTTCAGTAAAGTGCAATTGTGGCAAGCCTATTAACTGTCAACTTACTGATTAAAAATGATGAGCTCATACATTAATTATGGTCATTTATTAGAGTACAAATATGGCGAGCCTATACACCTTAATCAAATTGATAGTTCAAACGGAAAGTCAAAGTTCAAATTGAGAGCTGATAAAGATTTGTCTATTCAAATCAATTCAAATTCATTACAAGGGGGGCCATTACAAAAATATTACAAAAATAGAGGTCGATCTTTAGAAATGGCAGCATCATCCTGTTGATGTTCTTCTGAAGCATCTACTCCTTCCACTGAATCTTCAACCTTGTTGGCAGAAGTGGAAGGCTCAACAGAAAGGAATGCTCCCTTTATGACAGCCAAGTCCAATTGAGGATGCAGCTCGACAAGCCTCGCGAACACTTCATTGTAAGCTACTCCTCGCCAGTATATGTCGAACCTATCGTACTCTGCTGTTTCATGGAAATGAGCAACATATTCATTCACGGCTACCACCCCTGCCCTACTTAACTGCTGCTTCAACTCAGCTGCCTCAGCAGTCAGCTCTTCGATTTTGGCCTTTAACTCCTCATTTTCCTTGTTGGCCACCTCGAAGGCTGACGAAGCTATTTTCTGCAAGTTATTAGAATTTTTCACCTGCTTCATCAAAACATTGACTTCGGCCTTGCAGAGGTGGGCTTCCTTCTTCAACTCGTCATTTTCTTTGGAAAGTGCCTCCACTCTCGACTCAGCATCGGCTTGCCTCACCGGAGGCCTCAACGGCCTCATGGCTGACGATGCCTCATCCTTAGCCTTATTCCTTGTAGCCTCGGCGTCCGTAGCCCTCTGAAGGAACACTTTTTTGACGAGTCCGGCCTCATTTCCATTTGCAGCCGCCTCATTTCCATTTGTACATTCAAGAAAAAAGCTTGAGAAAGGTCGTGCAGGGCGAGTTCAGCCTCCATCACATCCACTGCATCACAGGTCTCGGCATACGAGGAGTACTTATCAGTCGAGTATTTATGATGGACCCTCATAGCCCATTGGGCTTCAGCAAGGAGCATTTCCATCACTGGGAGGCTATCTCATCAGCCCTCCCACCTAAAAAGTGTTGGGCTTTTCCTTCCGAGTGGGCACTCCTAACCTCTCTAACCCTCTTCCTCTTCACGAAGCTCGCCTCTTCCTTAGCGACCTCCTCCACATAAACAATTTTCACTGAAGAAATGGGCTCGACAACAATTGGATATCTAAACAACTCCCTAATAGTTGACTAGTGCTCGGGGTGGGAGGAGAGGCCCAGTATTCTTCTTCAACACCAATTTTCTTTTCAAAGGTTTCTTCACTAAAGGCTCGTTGTCCACTTTGCCCCCTTTCTCCTCGTTTTTCCCCTTCTTCTCCTAGGGAGGCGGTGGGTTCGCCTTAGACAAGCAGGTCAACTCGTCCCTTTGATGCTTATAAACAGTATAAGAGGAGCTCATAGGCTGTTTCTTCTTCGCCTCTCCGAGGCTTTTCATAATAAGTATGTCAGGTTTGACATACTCATTTTTATCGTGCTGAACTGCAAACCACAAAAAGACGATTCAGATAAATGTCAGCAAAGCAGAATCACTAAAGATGAACGAGTAGGAGTTGCTTTACCCTTGGTAGTCATCAGTTGGTGTGTAACGAAGAGGTTTCGTTTAGAAACTATATTTTTGAAGTGCCTCTTCTCTGCAGGCAGCTCGTGAATGACCCTTATAATAGCCCACTCCGAAAGTTCAAGTTCGAACCTATTGACTGCAGTTGCACAAAGCACACATTAGAAACAAAGAATCAAAAGTAATGGCATAAAGTAAACATTGCTGTGACTAAGGCTAAACTCACTATACTCATGATACTGGGTCAGCACGGTTATCTCCGGGACTACATCTCCCTCCATCATCTGCCAACAACCCCTAACCCAAAACTAAGATGACTTCTAGTTCTTGATAGAGGTTGGAGTCCCCAAAATGAAGGGAGAGTGCGAGCCCCAGGGGTTGATGCAATACCACCCCTTGTAGTCGCTCCCCCACTCGAAGCTCGGGGTTGGAAAAGGGTTTGGAAAACGAAGGGAGACATATCCTAGCCAAGGGTGGCATCCTTCCATAGAAGAAAGGCCCCTGCTAATTAGCTCCATACATTGGGTACTAGTTGGGTAGGGGCCAAACTATACTACCTAATGATAAATCTGAAGAAAGGGTGCAGGGGTAGCCTCATTTCCCCAGCTAGAGTGGCCTCATTCACTACCACACACCTCTCTTTAGGAAACCAGGCCCTCTCCTCTGGGGTCGGTACGAACATTTCTATACTATCTAGGATCCAATATCTCTCCCGGAAGGTCTCTAACTCACCCTCTTTTATATCAGTTGGCCACAAGGAGGCGTCACATCTAATGTTGAAATCTATGGGGCCCTTTGGCATCATCCTGCACTATGAAGGCCCCCATTGCCTCCATGATCCGTTCTGTAAGAATCACTTGAGGAATACCCGTCTCGGTACAAATTAACACCATGTTCACCCCAGAAGACCCCTCAGACACATTCTTTTTCGAAGAATAAGTCATCTAACTCAACAGATGAAAAAAAATGCATCGATAATAATAAATACTTACACGAAATCTAAGACTCAAGATCCAGAATGATGGGAAAACAAGAAGGAACAGAGTTGATCGCCGGATACAACATAAAAAATGCTAAGGAAAGTGATAATATTTTCAGCAATTAAGGTTTAAAACTTTTGCAAAGTAAAGAAAAGGGGAAAAAGTAGGTGTTCAACCTTTTATACGCGTAAATGAACCCCCAACATTGGATCTTCCTCCACTTTAAGTTGGGCCCTCCACCTGTAATCTCATCTATCACGATAATACCAAAAGGCGCTTGCTAAAAATTCAAACTAAAGGCCCAGATGAAGTTGTGCTAAGCATGCGCCATAAACTTGCGTAGGCCCTGCCAGATGTGAGGTACCATCACCATTGCGCATTAAATGTACACGTAGCTCGAGACTAGAAAATTACCACACCACCCAGCTGTTTTTATTGGGAATCGATTGCCCCTCAAATCATTATAACACACAACTTGGCGGGCTTCAAAGGTCTCGCCACTCTCAAAGGGGGTTAGTATATGCTTCAAGGCCCTCGCCTAACACCTTTTCAACCTTATCACAAGCTTCAACTCTTAAAAAGGCTCAATAGATGCTCCAAGGGCCTCCCCTAACACCTTTTCAACCTTATCATAAGCTTCAGCTCTTAAAGGGGCTCGGTAGATGCCCCAAGGGCCTTGCCTAACACCTTTCAGCCTTATCACAGGCTTCAGCTATCAAATAGGTCTGCCTTTTTACTCCAAGAGCTTTACCGCATATCCATCAACATCGTCGCAAGCTTCGACTAACAATCGTTTTTTTCTTTTTAGAATGGAAAGTCCACACGTTATATAAATAATCATACATGGACTTCGGAGACTGTTGTTACCCATAAGATAAACTAAAGGTCACACGTGGCACTAATTAGACTACGTGGCAAGATTACCTGAAGGGGGGCCACTCCTTGCATATCGGTGGACGACCCTGTTAGAAAGAGGTGAGCCCTTCCCCCCATAGAACGAGACTGGATCGATCACATTTTGGGTAGACTCCCATGCAAGAACCGGTTCGAAAGAGGCAGTTGCAAGATCTTTAAACAGATTTTGTGGAGAATGATTGACAAGACAATTCACTGACATCACCGTCTCTGCACACCTATACGGTCAAATCCAAACTGCTAAGCTAGGACTTATGGATACAAAAATGGCTCTAGCATTTAATGCCTTGATTGATTGACGTATGCTACAAGAACGATCAATCAACCTGATGGGGCCACGTGCCATACCATGTAACGGGCTTCGTTTGTTTTGATCAAGTATAAAAGCTCAAACTTAGTACCATTCAAGGATAATGCAAGTTTAGACTATTAAAGCTATATTCTTGCTACACA